CTGTAATCATTGCAAATTATACATAATCCTCCAAGATCTTTGCGGTATTTAAGGTTTGTTGAGTCAGCAAGCCGTGCCATAAATATAGTTCTTTTCATACTATTTGGATAGGATTCACTAAACTTATTTTATAATTCACTTTTTTGGTCAAGTAAATAGAGAATCGATAATTCTGTTTTTTTATCTATATTATACGAACTCATTTTAACATTATTTTTATCCTGGAAAAATAATATAAACTGTTCTTTTTAAATATTAGAAAGTCTTTTAACAGTTCTTTTGAGTTTATCTCATGATGGTGCACCTGGACCATAAAACTGTGCATGTTTTCTGGCTTTATTAATAGTGTCATTTTCAACCTATTGAGATAAAATTTTATGTTAATATTAGATTATTTTATTAATATTATATGCAGTTACTTACACCTAATTCATTTTTAAAAACATTGTATTTAAAGTTTAGAGTGATAATTGAAAGTATGCAAATTTTACCATCAGACTCTCTTTTATTGGAAGTTAGTGTATCCCAAAAGCTATTCCAAAAAATTAAGTTCTAAGAGCTTTGTACTGGTTGTAAATTTTGTGTTGGTGTTGAAGTTTCATTTAATTGAATGATATTATTATTTTTATAAAGATTTACTAATAATTCTTTGTTAAAACTGGGATCTGACGCATTGCTCCAAAACTCTATTGACAATCTCTTTTTTGAAACAGGCATTATATTGGTACATCTGCAGGCAACAAACATTGCTCACCATATGCATAACTTTCTGTCTTGAAAGCTATAGATGGGAGGGTAAATTTCATATAATATATGTAGAAATTGAACAACTGAGCTTTTTTGTTTACATCAATTAGAAAAAAGACATGGCCAATGAGCCACTACACTAGAAATCTTTCGTGATTTTATATGACAGTTGAAGATTTTTTCAAGTTGCTCTTTATTTATCCAGTCATCTACAGTACATACTGGTGATTTACTCTTTAATGTCTTGATATGTTCCTAAACTAATTCACTGGTTATTCCAAAAAGATACATTCCAGTATACTTTTTAAAAAGTTTTACCTTATTCCAAACTTCATCTGGAGTTTTTTCTTTGATCTTCTTTTTACATATTGACTCTAAATAAATTTCTAAACTACACTCATTTTCTTTAATTTTTAGGACAAATAGATGCTGTTTGCTTTAATAATGTGCTGTAAATGAAGAAACAAAACCAGCGCCAACTCCATGAAATTTGTCTTTATTTAAATTACCAATACTTGATATTATGACATTAAGTCTTTCTATATTAAGAAATATTAGAAAAAAATTCTATATTGAAGATTAGTTGTTGAATAATATCTTCATATTCAAAGCCTATAATAGCTAGCCCAGAATATTTAGTTTTTGTTTTAAAAACTTCTTGATAGCATGAATTAATTGCTGCTGATAGATGTAATTTAATTTCGAATCACAGGTATATTAAAAACCTGACTTTAATGGATTTTTATTGTCTAGCAAAACAGTAATAATAAAGTTCTTTTGATTAAGTATATATTCAATATACATATAGGGTTGAGTTAATAAAAACCAAGCAAATATTTTTTAATAAGTTTTTTTTAAAATTTCAAACAAAAATAACTTAACAAAACTTGATCAAATTTAATAAAATTTTTTAAAATTAATTTTACAAGTTTGTAAAAATTATTTAAAAAATTTTTTATTAAATTTGATTAAGTTTTGGTCAAGTTATTCTTGTTTAAAGTTATAAAAAAATTTTCTTATAAAAAATTTGCTTGATTTCTATTAACTCACCCCCATATATATATTTTTTATTATTTTAGTTACCTTTACTATAACTTTAGATGACTTGCTTAAAATTACACGAAAATTCTCATCAAAAGATTCAAAATTAGAGACCTCAAAAGAGGTTAATGCATCAGATTCTTCATTAAGTGAGGTTTTCATTAGTAGTTTAGATAACATAAAAACTGAAAATTTTATTAAAAATATGGACTTTAATGAAATGCCAGATTGTTATCTTAAAGAGGACAATGATGAATTATTAGAAGAAGAGGAAGAACCAAAATCAAAGAAAAAAAGACAATCTTCTATGTATGTACACACATGGGTGGATTTATCATTCCCAGAATTACCAAAACGAGGAACTTTTAATATTGAATCAGTAAAAAACAGTCCGTATTTTTTCAACTAATAAAAATATTTTCTATTAAAATGGCAGTCTAATTTAAGTCATTTATGCTAATACTAATCTGGTTTGTCGCATTATTAATAAGTAAAATTAACATTGAAAATAAGAATCTATGACTGAATGTTCACTCATAATTAATAATAATTATTAACAATTAGCCCGAGTTATTAACTAAAAATTACTTAATAAAGTAAGGCGCAGCTATTTGGTATTAGTACCGTGCAAAATATACCAATATTTCCCATTTTTCTTTAACTAGCGCTTGGGTATGTCCTTATACCAGTGTTGTCACTGGAAGACTGGAATCTCACTGGATGTCCAGATTTTTCCAATGTTCCAGTGGTTGGAGTGTTAGATACCAAATGATTAACTATCATAGTTCAGCACTATATGTTGGCCCACTATTAAAGATTTTTAAAA